GATTCACTTTTCCTCCTACCCATTCAGTTTTTCTATAGTCCTTTAAATGGTTAGTATTTGCCACTCTTTAATTTAAGTTTCTCAAGTCATAAATTTGTGAGGTATCTTACTCTTCTTATTCATTCCCCACCATTCCAGCATACTCATCAACCAAAGCCTACACTGTCCATGCTTATTATCAAGGTCTAGATTAATTCAAGCACTAACCAATTTTTATGGTGAACTTTTGACTTTCTTTTCTTTTTTTTTTTTTTGTCAGTTGTGGGGCCTGAACTCTGGGCCTGGGCGCTGTCCCTCCGCTCTTCAGCTGTAGATAGTGCTCTATCACTGGAGCATCAGCCCCACTTTCGGCTTTTTTTGCTTATGTGGTGCTGAGGAATCGAACCAAGGGCCTCATGCATGCAAGGCAAGCACTCTACCACTGAGTCACCTCCAAGTCCCGACTTTTTTTTCTTATTATCAAGGTCTAGATTAATTCAAGCACTAACCATTTTTTATGGTGAACTTTTGACTTTTTTTTTTTTTTGGCAGAGCTAGGGATTGAACCCAGGAAATCATACATGCTAGGCAAGCACTGTACCACTGAGATACATCCTAAGCCTCCTTATCAGTGGGGTCTTAGTAGCTTTCCCTTCTATTAGTCTATAACTATAGTGTGGTGACAGACTAGTCACTTTTCTGTCTAAAGCAAACTGGCTTAATTTACACTAGTGTAATAAAAAGATAATGAACATCATCAGAGCCCAACCTTGCTCTTCTCCCTTTCTGTGAAGATGTTTTTTCCTTCTCCTGCTAACAACTCCTCCTCATTTTCTCCTAGCCTCTGAATAGTTAGAACCAACTGAGCAGTGGAGAGGTCTAATGAGTCAAGACAGTCAATGGGATTCCTACTTAGCAACCTGAATAAGGAGTTCAATTTAGTCTGAACCTCATCAGTCTTGACTATGGATCTCTAAGGATAGAAGGGAAATCAAGCAGGTCTGCAATTATTCCTTGCTCTGAAACATCCTCCCATGAAGGAATAGAGAAGACAGCAGAGTAATACCATAGACCATAAAGCTGAAAGCTAATTGTTACCATCATTAAATTTTGGGGTTTTTTAAAACGTTGTCTGTTTTGATCAAATCCAGGCTCTCACTAATATTAAGCAAAGCCTTAGTTACTGAGCTTTACACCACCAGCCTCATTAATTTTTCTTCTTCTAATTTTCTTTTTAATTTGGTCTGTCATGGGGCTTGAACTCTGGGCATGGGCGCTGTCCCTCAGCTCTTCAGCTCAAGGCAAGCGCTCTACCACTTGAGCCACAGCACCACGTCTGGTTTTCTTGTGGTTTAATGGAGATAAGAATTTCATAGACTTTCCTGCCCGGGCTGGCTTTGAACCAGGATCCTCAGATCTCAGCCTCCTGAGAAGCTAGGATTACAGGCAGGAACCACCAGTGCCCGGCTTCTTCTAATTTTTATTTTTTTCAATAGTGGAGACTGATTTCAGGGCCTCCAACATGCTAGGCAAATACTCAACCACTTGAACCACATCCTCAAATCTTTTTTTTTTTTTGGGGGGGTCCGGTCGTGGGGCCTGAACTCTGGGCCTGGGCACTGTCTCTCAGCTCTTCAGCTCAAGGCTAGTGCTCTACTGGTGCCACAGCACCACTTCCGGCTTTTTTCTTTTTGCTTATGGGGTGCTGATGAATTGAACCCAGGGCCTCTGCATGCAAGGCAAGCGCTCTACCACTGAGCCACCTTCCCAGCCCCCTTGTTTTTTATTTTGGAATAAACTCTCACTAACTTTTACCTAGACTGGCCTTGAACCTAAGATCCTCCTGCCCTCTACTTTTGGAGTATCTTGAACTACAAGTATGTGTTACCCAGCTCCTTCTTTATAATTATTGTTATTTTGTGCCAATCCTGGGGCTTAAGCTCAGACTGGGATGCTGTTTCTAAACTAATGCCCACCACTTGAGCCACAGCTCCACTTCCAGATTTTTGGTGGTTAACTAGAGATAATAATCTCAGACTTCTAGGGCTGGGAAAGTGGCTCAGTGGTAGAGCGTTTGCCTTGCATGCCTGAGGCCCTGGGTTCGATTCCTCAGCACCACATAAGCAAAAAGAAAAAAACCGGAAGCGGTGCTATGACTCAAGTGGTAGAGTGCTAGCCTTGAGCTGAAGAGCTAAGAGACAGCGCCCAAGCCCAGAGTTCAGGCCCCACGACCGGACCCAAAAAAAAAAAAAAAAAAAAAAAAATCTCAGACTTCTTTCATGCTGGAGCTAGCTTTGAACCAGTTTCAGCCTCTTGTGTAGCTAGGATTACAGATGTGAGCCACCAGCACCGGTTTCTTCATTAAGTTGTTGATGAACTATTTACTATGGATTTAGAGTGAGTAACCTTCAACTTTAATGGAAATGGTGACTAAGCAGAGACAGCAACAGAATACTTTTTTCTTTTTTGAGATAGGGTCTCACTGTGTTGCCCAAGCTGATTTCAGTCTCTTTATAGTCCCACCTTAACCTCCTGAGAAGCTGGGATTACTGGTGTGCCAAAGGATATGATTTAAAGACTAATTTTTTTAACATGTTATTGCTAATAATATATCTATTTAAGTATAGTTAAAAACAATGCGTTCATCATACAATTAAAATTTAAAACAAAGCCAGGTACCAGCATTTCACACCTATAATCCTAGTTACTCCAGAGGCTGCGACTGAATGGTAACAGTTCACAACCAGCTTGGGCATAAAAGTCCTCCAAAATAACCAACAAAAGCTGAACTGGAGGTATGCCATAAGTGGTAGAATGCCAGTCCTAAGCAAGAAAGCCAAGGAGAGCTCAAGGCACTGAGCTGACCAAAACAAACATAAACAAAAACAGCTAGCAACCTTTCAACTACAGATTAGAAAAAGTTTAAGTTCCTTAGTGGAGTATACAATATTCTTAAATTGGCTCCTAGTAACCATCCAGCTTCATTATTGTTATTATGTACTTCATTCTTTTTGCTCTAACAAAAATAATCCATTTTATGGTTACATACAACACATTAACTGGAACCCCTCTGTACCTCACCTCGACAATAAAAGTTTTTTAAAAAAACACAAAAAATAACATTGCTTTCATATTTACTGTACACGCAGTTTCTTTGAGCAATTTGTTTAGTTATCCTAAAATTCTAGCTCAACAGTGACCAGTTACCTCATATGAGAGTTTTCATGCTTAAAAGACAATTACAGTGAATTCTAAATGGCTGATTAATCTACTCCATAAAGACAGGAAATGTGAGTAGGGCACCAATGGCTCATGCCTGTAATCCTAGCTACTCAGGAGGCTGAGATCTGAGGGTCACGGTTCAAAGCCAGCCTGGACAGGAAAGTCCATGAGACTCTTATCTCCAATTAACCACCAGAAAACTGGAAGCTCAAGTGGTAGAGAGCTTGCCTTGAACTGAAGAGCTCAAGGACAGTGCCCAGGCCCAGAGTCAAGCCCCACACCTCCCCCCCAAAAAAAAATTTTTTTGAAGGCAGCCCAGAACAGGAAAGTCCATGGGACTCTTATCTTGAATTAACATGCTCCAGGACCGGAATTTTAAAAAAAAATCCAAACACAGTAATTTCAGTGATATTATACTTGTTCTTTATCCTATACCAGTCAGAGAAGAATGCCAAAGTCTAATGTGCACATAATATATCTGATGTGGCTGGGAATGTGGCTTAGTGGTAGAGTGCTTGCCTAGCATGCATGAAGCCCAAGGTTAGATTCCTCAGTACCACATATACGGAAAAAGCTGAAAGTGGTGCTGTGGCTCAAATGATAGAGCTCTAGCCTTAAGCAAAATAAGTTCAGGGGTAGTGCCCAGGCCCTGGGTTCAAGCCCCAAGACTGGCAAAAAAAAGAAAAAATATATATCTGATATCACAAATGTAATGTGGACAAATAACCAGAGAAAAAGAAAAAAATCTTCTGAACTTAACAATCAGATCTTGACTGCTTATACTACAAAAGTGAAGTATTGGATAGAAGGCAATTACCAACTAGTGTTTACTCTGAAAAGAACAATTTGAGAAAAGTTCAAGTACCTAAAGAAAGAGGTATGTTCTCCACTAAAGAAGGGAATAGTACTAAGAACTCAATGCATAGGGCTGGAAAGGTGGCTCAGTGGTAGAGCGCTTGCCTTGCATGCATGAGGCCTCTGGGTTCGATTCCTCAGCACCACATAAGCAGGAAAAAAGGTAGAAGTGGCACTGTGGCTCAAGTGGTAGAGCACTAGCCTTGAGCTGAAGAGCTGAGGGACAGCGCCCAGGCCCAAAGTTCAGGCCCCACGACTGGACCCAAAACAAAACAGAACTCAATGCATATTTCAATTTTCTTAGGGTCACAACATTGTTTATTGACTGATAAATAGTTCTCTGAAGATTCCTTTAGAATCTGAGTAGTTTTTGTGACAGTAATACAATCCTCAGAAAAGTACAACAAATACTTGTAAATAAAAGTCCTTAAGACTAGGAATGTGGCTCAATGATAGAGTGCTTGCCTAGTATTCATGAAGCCCTGGGTTCAATTCCTCAGTACCACATGAACAGAAAAAGCCCACTGGGCTCTGGTGGATCATGCCTGTAATCCTAGTTACACAGGAGGCTGAGATCTGAGGATGTTGGTTCAAAGCCAGCACAGGCAGGAAATTCCCCATGAGACTCTAATCTCCAATTAACTGCCAGAAAAGTGGAAGTGGTACTGTGGCTCAGATGGTAGAGTGCTAACCTTGAGTCAAAGAAGCCTTAGGACTGGCAAAAAAAAAAAAAGTCCTTATAATTCTTTTTCTGTACCTTTTCTTTACTAGCACTGAGAAGCACCATTGATAGAGTACTTAATTTTAAATTGTTCCTACGGTTCAAATACCAGATTCAGGTTAAACAGAAAAAAACTGTACTATTAGGTTTACTTACAATCCAATCCAATTGAATTCCTGAAACCCTGCAAGAGTAGTTAAACTTTATTTGGTTACTACATTACCTGTTGTTCAGCAAAATGTTGGAACACTTAATATCTCGATGCAGGAAATTCTTTTTGTGACAGTAATCCAATCCTTCCATAAGCTGTTTCATGAATGATTTGATATGGTCCTCAGAAAAGTGCACCAAACCAGATTCTAGCAGTCCCATTAAGTCATGGTCCATATACTCAAAGACAAGGTAAAAAGCACCTATAAAATGAAAACAATTACTTAAAAATTGAATTGTAAACAAATTTTGAAGTTGACCATGAACTCAAACAATGCTATGATTTTCTTTATTTTTTATTTTTTGGGTAGTGCTTCTGGGGCTTGAACTCAGAGCATTGGTCATGTTTTTGCTCAAGGCTAGTGCTCTATCACTTGACACACAGCTCTACTTCTGGATTTTGGTTGGTTAATTGGAGATAAAGAGTCTTATGGGGCTGGGAAGTTGGCTCAGTGGTAGAGTGCTTACCTTGTACACTTGAGGACCTGGGTTTGATTCCTTAGTACCACATAATCAGAAAAATTGTGAAGTAGCGCTGTGGCTCAAGTGACAGGGTGCCAGCCTTGAGCTAAAAAGCTGAGGGACAGTGCCCAGGTCTAGAGTTCAGCTCCCATGACCGACCCCCCCCCCCCCCCCCCGCAAAAAAGCGTGTTTCCTGCCCCAGCTGGCTTTGAACTGTAATCCTCATATCTCAGATTTCTGAGTAGCTATGATTATAGGTATGAACCACTGGAGCTTTTTTTCTTTTTTTGGTGTTAATGGGTTTGAACTCAAGGCATTGAGCTCTTGCTCAATGGAAGTTAACTGGAAGACCTGTCTGCCCAAGCTGGCTTGAGCCACATTTCTACTTCTGGCTTTTTGATGGTTAACTGGAGGTAACAGTCTCATGGACTTTCCTACCTGGTCTGGCTTTGAACTACAATCCTTAGATCTCAACCTCTTGAGTAGCTAGTTATAAGTGTGAGCCACTGGCACCCAGCCATAAGCATATTTTTGATAAGTCCATACTTCTCCTGTTTGTCAAGTTTGAGGCCAGCTGGGGCTACGTGGTAAGTTAAAGGCTAGCCAGGACTGCAACTCTTAAGAGCAAACTCAGGGTCCTCAAGGTTTTTAGGCAAGTGTGAGATCACTGGACTACATCTCTAGCCATTCAGTTAGATGGACTCATTGACTGATTGAGATTGACTGATACTGTGGTTTGAACTAAGGACCTCATAGTTTCTTTTTTAGAACTTTTTTTTTTTGTCGGTCGTGGGGCTTGAACTCTGGGCCTGAGCAATGTCCCTCAGCTCTTCAGCTCAACGCGAGCGCTCTACCACTTGAGCTACAGCACCACTTCCAAGGACCTCATAGTTTCTAAGTAGGCACACATCAATTTAGGAACCTCCAGTTCCTAGAAAAGTCTATGAGACTTTTTATCTTCAATGAACTACTCAGAAAAAGCTGGAAGTGGTGCTGTGGCTAAGGTGGTATTAAGCAAAAGAAGCTTGAGGATAGACTCCAGGCCCAGAGTTCAAGCCCAAGGACAGGCTTTGGACCTCAATCCTCAGATCTCAGTCTCTTGAGTAGCTAGGATTACAGGTACAAGCCACCAGAGCCCAGCATATATTCTTAATGTTGGGGAGAATACAGTAAGATAAGCATGACAATTTTCTTTCATAAAATGAACCTAATTTTAACTAAGGAAACTCCTTTGACTAATTCTTTTTTTTTTTTTTTTTTTTTAGTAATGGAGCTTGAACTCTGGGCCTGGGCACTGTCCCTGTGCTCTTCAGCTCAAGGTGAGAGCTCTACCGCTTGAGCCACAGCGCCACTTCCAGTTTTCTAGTGATGAATTGGAGATAAGAGTCTCATGGACTTTTCTGCCCTCTTCTGCTCGGGTTGGCTTTGAACCATGATCCTCAGATCTCAGCCTCCTCTGTAGCTAGGATTACAGGCATGAGCCACTGGCGCCCAGCTCCTTTGACTAATTCTATGTGTAAGTGATTATTAGGCTAGGGGTGTGTAGTTCAGAAGTAGACCACATTTTAGCACATGTGAGGCCCTGGGGTTAAATCCTAGCAACTAACAAATAATGAAATACAAGGTAAAGATGTATACATATACACACACACACAAACACAATGGTGTTCAGCTGGGCACTGGTAGCTCATGCCTATAATCCTAGCTACTCAGAAGTTGAGATCTGAGGATAGCAGTTCAAAGCCAGTCAGGCAGGAAAGTCCATGAGCCTCTTATCTCCAATTAACCACCAGAAAACCGGAAGCAATGATGTTGTGGCTCCAGTGGTAGAGTGCTTGCCTTGAGCTGAAGAGTAGAGGCCTAGGCCCAGAGTTCAAGCCTCACAACTGGACCCCCCCCCCCCCCAAAAAAAAAATCTGTACAAATATTGCTACTATCAGGCGTGGTGGCAAAACACTTCTAATTTCAGATATTTGTGAGAATGAGGCAGGAAGGTTGTTGCAGGTCCTAGCCAATCTACTAATGCCCCCATCCTCCAACTTCCCCTCAAAAAAAAAAAACAAGCCGGGCACTGGTGGCTCACGCCTGTAATCCTAGCTACTCAGGAGGCTGAGATCTGAGGATCGCGGTTCAAAGCCAGCCCGGGCAGGAGAGACCATGAGACTCCTATCTCCAATAAACCACCAGAAAACTGGAAGTGGTGCTGTAGCTCAGGTTGTAGAGCGCTCGCCTTGAGCTGAAGAGCTGAGGGACAGTGCCCAGGCCCAGAGTTCAAGCCCCATGACCGACAAAAAAAAAAAAAAAAGAAACTGAGTTTTTTTGTTTGTTTGTTCTTTTTTGTTTAAGCAGTTGTTTTGGTTTGGTTTTTTTTTTTTTTTTTTTTTGGGCAGAGCATAGGAGGGCCTTTCTATATTGCCAAGGCTGGACTTGAAGCCATGGGTTCAAGCAATACTGCAGGGTACTCATGGCTCACTTATGTAATCCTAGCTACTCAGAAGGCTGAGATACGAGACTCAAGGTTTGAAGCCAGCTAGGGCACAAAAGACCTCAAGACTCTCTCCCATCAGTCAGCAAAAAGTGAAGTAAAGGTTCAAGTGGTAAAGCACCATCGGTGAATGAAAAACAATCCTCCTGCCTTAGCCCCCTAAGTTGCTGGGGACAACATGCATGAATCACCATGCCAGGCTTGCATTAATTTTTAAAGTGGCAACTAAATGCCCAACACAGGCTTGTAAATTTGGTTTTATGCATTTTTAAGTCATAAAGGTATTTTACTGAGGATTTTCTCTTTTTTTTTGACAGTCCTTGGGCTTAAACTCAAGGGCTGGGCACTGTCCCTGAGCTTCTTTTGCTCAAGGCTAGAGCTCTATCACTTGAGCCATGGCATCACTTCTGGCTTTTTCTGTGTATGTGGTACTGAGGAATTGAATCTGGGGCTTCATGCATACTAGGCAAGCACTCTACCACTAAGCCACATTCCAGCTCTTTACTGAGGATTTATGACAAGCTATATACACAACACTTAGAACTATCTCAGTTATATTATAAAATATGTATAGTAAAGAAGCAAATGTACCAAAATGTTAATATTACAGTTATTTATATGGTGAGATACTGGGATGGGGTAGGAGGAAAGTATTTGCCATTTTTTCTTGATATTCTAGATTTTCAATTTTTTCACACATTATAGCCATTTTTACTTTTTTTGGGGGGAGGGGTTCCCCCCTTCTCTTCCTCTTTTTCTCTCTCACATTTCTGGCCTGGAGTATACTACATACTAGGTTAGCCTTTATCATCTTCCTAGCTTTAAAGAAATCCATCATCTTTTTTTTCTTTTTTTGCCAGTGCTAGGGTTTGATCTCAGGGCCTGGGCATTGTCCCTGAGCCTCTTTGTACTCAAGGCTAGCCCTCTACCACTTGAGCCACAGCACCACTTCCAGCTTTTTATGTTTATGTGGTACTGAGGAATTGAACTCAGGGCTTCATGCATTCTAGGCAAGCACGCTACACTAAGCTACATTCCCAGCCTCTAAATCAATTTTTTAGATTATATTAGTATTTCTTTAATTTAATCCTAAAAGTTCTATTTCCATTTTCTCATCTCTAAAATTCGTTTAGACAAATAACTATAAAGAAAATAGGGGGATTGGGCTGGGAAGGTAGCTCAGTAGTAGAGCTTGCCTTGCATGCTTGAGGCCCTGGGTTCGATTCCTCAGCACCACGTAAGCAGAAAGAAAAAAAAAAGCCAGAAGTGGTGCTGTGGCTCAAGTGGTAGAGTGATAGCCTTGAGCTGAAGAGCTGAGGGACAGCGCCCAGGCCCAGAGTTCAGGCCCCACAACCGGACTTTAATTCACAATCTCCCTGCCTAGCCTCGAGAGTGCAGGGATTAGAGACATGTTCTACCAAGTCTGGTATATTCCGTAACTGTATCGGTGTGAAACAATAATAGTATGTGGCACATAAGTGATAGCCAGGAGGAATAATCTAAAAATAGTAAGTGTGGGATTTAATAGCCATTAAGGTTTTATGTTTTAGCTTAAAAAAGAAAACAAAAGCCTCAAAATTAGGATGGGGGACTTGAGGGATTTAGCATAGTCATACTAGAGCATTGCTAGAATGCAAAGGACTCTAGGATCAGAGCTGGGTACCAGTGGCTCATACCTGTTACCCTAACTACTCAGGAAACTGAGAACTGAGGACTAGTGGTTCATGCCTGTAATCCTAACTACTCAGGAGGCTGAGATCTGAAAACTGTGGTTCAAAGCCAGCCCAGGCTGGAAAGTCCATGACACTCTTTTTGTTGTTGTTTATTTTTTATTTTTATTTTTTTGGGTCCGGTCATGGGGCCTGAACTCTGGGCCTGGCCATCAGCTCTTCAGCTCAAGGCTAGTGCTCTACCACTTGAGCCACAGCGCCACTTTCTGGCTTTTTTCTTTTTGCTTATGTGGTGCTGAGGAATAGAACTCAGAGCCTCATACATGCAAGGCAAGCACTCTACCACTGAGCCACCTTCCCAGCCCTCCATGACACTCTTATCTCTAACCACCAGAAAACTGGAAGTGGTGCTGTGGCTCAAGTGGCAGAGTGCTAGACTTGAGCTGAAGAGCTCAGGGACAGCACCCAGGTTCAGAGTTCAAGCCCTACAACTACAAACCCTCCCCCCACCCCCACCAAAAAAAAAAAAAGACAAAACAAAAAATCCTGGGAATGATTGGAAGATAATTTAATGTTGTTTATCTGCTGACTTTATTGAGTGTTCACAGCAGATTCCACCTACCTAAAGCATATTTACTAATGACTTTTAAAAGTATAAAGTGTTGGGCTGTGAATGTGGCTTAGTGGCAGAGTGTTGATCTGGCATACAAGAAGCCCTAGGTTTGATTCCTCAGTTCCATGTAACAGAAAAAGCCAAAAGTGGTGCTGTGGCTTGAGTGTATGCTTTTGCACTGAGCAAAAGAAGCTCAGGGTCAGTACCTAGAGCCTGAGTTCTAGCCCCGGACTGCCCCCCCCCACAAAAAAAGTATAAAGTATTTATTAATGAAGGAATATTTTATAAAATCAGCAGTAATTAATATAAAGCAATCTGCTATTTTCTTTTTTTTTTAAAGGACAGGTCTCCATATATAGCCAACTAAGCCTTGAACTCACTATTAGCATAGGCTTGCCTTGACCATTTGATTTTTCCTGATTCAGCACTGGGATTACAGAATGCCCCACCACACTCAGCTTCCTCTGCCAACACTGTAATTCCAACATGGATCAGAAAGTTAGACTTTAGTATAATATATTTAAAAAGTTCCCAGATTGTGACAGAGTGACAAGAGGGTATGTGATAGAGGTGGAAGAGATTGAGGTTGACAGGGTACATTGTATGCATGTATGGAAATGTCTCAACTAAATCCCCCTTGTACAACCGATAAAGCTCCTATAGAAACTGAAGGTATGGCTGAAGGGGTAGAGTGCCTACCCAGCAAGCATAATGCCCCTCAGTTCAAACCCCAGTAAGAAAAATTAATTTGTACCAATCAACCCTGTAGAAACCTAACTGGTTTCTAGTACCTTTGTCCTTCTTGAAATCCAGTGCATCTTGTTTATCTGTCACAATTTCCTTCATGTTAACAACGCTTCGGTGGATTAGCTGACGAAGAATTTTGATCTCACGAATGGCTGTAATTGGGAAGCCTTCTTTCTCATTGTCTAGTCTCACCTTCTTCAGAGCTACTAGTTCTCCTGCCAAAACAAATTCAAGTTATTATCATTATCAATTATCATTTTAAGCTATCATCATAAACCATTCCTTGCTCTCTCAGACTTAATATCTATTTTAATTTTTTTTAAGGTTCTGGTCCTTTTATTTGAGTCATGGGACCTGAACTTTGGGCCAGGTACATGTGAAGCATAAATTCTCTCAGTGATTCTGGGGTTGAAATGCAGGTCCTCACATATATCCAGCAAGAGTTTTAACAGTTGAGTCACACCCCCAACTATATTAGCTTGCCTTTCTGTCTTTCTTCTTTTCTTTTTCTTTCTCTTTCTTTCCTTCCCTTCCCTTTCATTCCCCCCCCCCCCCTTCCTCTTCCCCTTCCTTTTTTTTTGAAAATGGTACTGGAGCTTGAACTCAGGACCAAACATTCTCCCTTGGTTTTTTCATTCAAGGCTGGGTATTCTACTAGAGCCAGTGGGAGTGGATGAGTGCTTAACTAGAGGTAAGTCTCACAGACTATTCTGCCCAGGCTGGCTTTGAACCTCAATCCTCAGATCTCCACCCAATAGCTAGGATTACAGTCATGAGGCAACAGCACTTAGATGCCAGAAACTCTTACTTAGCTTCTTCACTCAAGGCTAGAGTTCTAATATTTGAGCCACAGGTCTCAAATACAAGCTTTTTGCTGGTTAAACTGAGATAAGAGTGTGATAGATTATCTGCAGGGGGGGTGGTTTCAAGACGAGATACTCAGATTTCACCCTCTTCAGTAGCTAGGATTACAGGTATGAGCCACCAGTGCCCTGCTCATGTTTTTTGTTTTTGTTTTTTGGGTTTTTTTTAATCCTCTTCAAAATTCCTAGGAAGCTATAAATGTTTACAAAGGACAACAAAAAAGGACAAGGTTACAACTCAGTAATAGTGTGCTTTCTTTTCTTTTTTTTTAACTACTTTGAGCCACAGCTCTACTTCCTTTTTCTGGTAATTAACTGGAGATAAGAGTCTCATGGACTTTCCCACTTGGTCTTTGAGCTCAATCCTCAGATCACAGCCTCCTTAGTGGCTAGGGTTACAAGTGTATGCCATGCTCAGCTGATAGTGTGCTTTCCGAGCATGCTTGGGGTCCTAGGGGCCCTGGGTTCAATCCCCACCACACACACAAACAAAAACCCAAAACAAAAAAACATCATAATGAAAAACAAAAAAGGAGGATCCGCAGGCTGGGAAGGCGACTCAGTGGTAGAGTGCTTGCCTTGCATGCCTGAGGCCCTGGGTTCGATTCCTCAGTACCACATAAGCAGAAAAAGCCAGAAGTGGTGCTGTGGCTCAAGTGGTAGAGCACTAGCCTTGAGCTGAAGAGCTGAGGGACAGTGCATGCCCAGGCCTAGAGTTCAGGCCCCACAACGACCAAAAAAAAAGAAGAAAAAAAAAAAAAAAGGAGGATCCTCCCCACCCTGTGTGCTGGGGACTGAACCCGGTTTCTCACAAATGCTAGTCTGCTAGTCAAGTGTTCAACCACTGAACTGATCAGGAGAGTTTTTGGTTTTGTTTTCTTTTTGCCAGTCTTGGGACTTGGAAGTCAGGGCCTGGGCACTGTCCCTGAGTTTCTTTTTGCTACTTGAGCCACAGTGCCACTTCCGGCTTTTTCTATTTCTATGGAATTGAGGAACCCTTTATGTATTCTAGGCAAGCTCTCTACCACTAAGCCATATTCCCAGTCCCTAGAGAGTTTTATTTTTATTTTTCTGTTGGTCGTGGGGCCTAAATTCTGGGCCTAGGCACTGTCCCTCAGCTCTTCAGCTCAAGGCTAGTGCTCTACCACTTGAGCCACAGAGCCATTTCCAGCTTTTCCTGCTTTTGTGGTGCTGAGGAATCGAACCCAGATCGTCATGCATGCAAGGCAAGTACTCTACCACTGAGCTACCTTCCCAGCCCCCTGGAGAGTTTTAATATAATAATATACAGATAGTCCTGTATATCTGCAATTCCAAATAAATACATAAAAATATTTGAATGAAGAAAATACTTTATCTGTACTGAACATGTGCAGACTTTTTGACTCATCTTTAAAGTATAAAAATTATTTACTTACTATTATGCCTTGTATTACATATTAAAAGTCTGGCTCTGATGGCCAGGTGCTAATGGCTTACGTCTGTTATCCTAGCTACTCAGGAAGCTACTCAGAACTGCGATCTGAGGATCATAGTTCCAAAGCCAGCCAAGTTTCTTATCTTTAATCACCAAAAAAGCCAGAAGTGGAGCTGTCGCTCAAGTGCTAGAGCACTAGCTTTGGACAAAAAAAAAAACAAAACCCCAAAACAAAACAAAAAATAACTCACCAAAAAAAACAGAAGTGAAGCTGTGGCTCAAAGTCATAGACCATTATTAGCCTTGAGCAAATGATATCAGGGACAGAGCCCAGGCTCTGAGTTCAAGCCCTAAGACTGGAACACAAAAAAAAGTACTCCAGAGATGACTTACCAGAGGATGTGTGGAGACTATATGCAAATACTATGCCATTTTATTTAAGGAATTTAAGCAAATTTACCAATTTTGATATTCAAGGGTCCTGGAAGCAATCTCTCATGGAAACTGAGGGATGGTTACTACTACTTTTTTTTTTTTTTTTTTGGTTGGTCATGTGGCTTGAACTCTGGGTTTGGGCACCGTCCCTGAGCTCTTCAGCACAAGGCGAGAGCTCTACCGCTTGAGCCACATCACCACTTGTGGTTTTCTAGTGGTTTTATTGGAGATAAGAGTCTCGGACTTTCCTGCCAGGGATGGCTTTGAACTGTGATCCTCAGATCTCAGCCTCCTGAGTGCCCGGCTGGTTATTATTTTTGTGAAAAATTTCTTTCAGAGACAAACTTAGAACATAAAATTTACTTTTACCAAATTCATTTAAAACATTAGTATTGATAAATTGCTAAGTTTCTGACATCAAGGATTCTGTGGCACAGGCTTGGGGGCATGGCTCAAGTGGTAAACTATCTGCCTTGCAAATGTGAAGTCCTGAGTTTAATCTCAGTATTTCCAAGAAAAACAGGAATTTGAGGAAACATTTTTTTTTCAGTCAGTTGTGGGGTTTGAACAGGGGGCCTGGATGCTATCTTGAGCTCTTTTTGCTCAAGACTAGTGCTCCACCACATTAGCCAAAGTGCCACTTCCAGTTGTCTGGTAGTTAATTGGAGATAAGAGTATCATAGACTTTCCTGCCCTGATTGGCTTTGAGCCACAATCCTCAGATCTCAGCCTTCTGAGCAGCTAGGATTACAAGCACGAGCCAACAGCGCTCAGCTTGATGGCACATTTATTTACCTGTGTCTTTGTCCTTGGCTTTATATACTTGGCCATAGGTTCCCTCTCCAATAATCCCAATTATGTCAAACTTGTCCACACAGCGTTTCCCCCAATCACTCTCTGTTTGTCTTCTTTCTCCATAACGAGGACAACAAATTCTAAAATAAAAACAGCAAAAGTTATTTTTTAGTTAGATTTCCGTGGCTCTTCTGTTATTGAAATGATATAAAGTATTTTAAGCAGTCTCTCACAGTATCTAAGACAAAATCTGGCTTCAGAAAAATAGGATCAAACAATACATTTGTTGCTTGCTTATTTTCTTTCTTTTTTGTCAGCCATGGGGCATAAACTCTGGGCCTGGGCGCTATCCCTGAGCTCTTCAACTCAAGGCAAGTGCTCTACCAGTTGAGCTAAAGCACAACTTCTGGTTTCCTGGTGGTTAATTGGAGATAAGTATCTCAGGTACTTTTCTGCTCAGGCTGGCTTTGAACTGTGATCCTCAGATCTCAGCCTCCAGAGTAGCTAGGATTACAGGTGCGAGCTACTGGCACCCAGCTTGATGCTTACTTTCTGAACTCTCAAGAAGTGGCTACATCTATAAAATAGGAATGTACCTCAGTGGTTGAGTTTGCCTGGCATGTACAGGAACCTGAGCTCAGTACTCAGAACCATTAATAATATCTATATCTATATATTTTTTTGGGTCCAGTGGTGGGGCCTGAACTCTGGGCCTGGGCACTGTCCTTCAGCTCTTTAGCTCAAGGCTAGCGCTCTACCACTTGAGCCACAATGCTACTTCCGGCTTTTTTCTTTTTGCTTATGTGGTGCTGAGGAATCAAAGCCAGGGCCTCATGCATGCAAGGCAAGTGCTTTACCACTGAGCCACCTTCCCAGCCCACACTAATAATATCTATAAAGTAAGTGGCAACTATTTTTATAAAGAGAAAAATGTTAACAATCATAAGATCAGAATCAGCTCATAATATATTAATGTTGGGCTAGTAATGTGGCTTAGTGATAACGTGCTTGCCTAGCATGCATGAAATGCCTAGCATGCATGAAGCCCTGGGTTTGATTCCTCAGTACTTCATAAACAGAATAAGCCAGAAGTGGCGTTGTGGCTCAAGTGGTAGGTAGAGTGCAAGCCTTGAGCAAAAAAAGCTCAAGAACAGTACCCATGCCCCAAGTTCAAGCCCCAGGACTAGGAGGAAAAAAAGAAAAAATATATATAAATGTAGTCATTTATATGAGACAGAAGCTTAAAAGTCCAACTTATTAATTTATTATTAATGTGCATATAGTTGATATATTCTAAATTGAAACTTTTTTTTTTTTGGTCCATTGTGAGGCTTGAACTCTGGGCTTGGACGCTGTCCCTGCGTTCGTCAGTTCAAGGCGAGTGCTCTACCGCTTCAGCCACAGCGCCACTTACGGTTTTCTAGTGGTTTTATTGGAGATAAGAGTCTCACAAACTTTCCTGCCCAGGCTGGCTTTGAACCATGATCCTCAGATCTCAGCCTCCTGAGTAGCTAGGATTACAGGCATGAGCCACCAGGGCCTGTTTTTTTTTTTTTTTTAAACTTTTTGCTCACACCTGTAATCCTAGCTATTCAGGAAGCTGAAATCCAGAGGATCAATTCAAAGCCAGACTGCCCAGAAAATCCAAGGGACATCTTCTCCAAAATAACCAGCCAAAACCTTGTCCAGAGACATAGCTCAAGTATGCAAGCCAAGTAAGCATGAGGTCCAGTGTTCATATTCCAGTTTCAGAAAACAAAACAAAGGATAAGATTATATATCCTGACTTGGGTATTTGCTTTTCTGAAAACAGCGTCTATGGATGCAAAAGCCTTTGGAGAAAGGCTTTTGTCCATAAAAATAAAATACAAAACAGGATCAAACTTCTATAATCTTACTACATAGGTTTTGGAAGAAACGTGATAGTTGGGCCCACAAGCAAGGATAAAATTTAAGAATAATTAAGGGTGGATAACTCCAAAAACTTACTTTGGTCTCTTTTTATATGGTTGCTGAGGTGGTGTAATTGCTTTTGGCTCTGGAGAGTCTGGGGGAGATGAATCCCCACCAGGGAGCTCTGGAGGAAGAGGGAGGTCTGTGAGTAAATGACGTGTCCTCTGTTCCTTCTCTTTCTTTGCAGGTTTTGAAGGAAGTGTTTCTTTTGGACTAAACAGAGGAAAAGAGAAAAAAAGTTATAATTACTTAAGATTTTGCTATTAAAAAAAGAATATGCCAAGCTATTAAGATTATAAAGTTTTTACTTTTTTTGTGCTACTAGGATTTGAACTCAAAGCCTTATATTTGCTGAGCTGGCACTTTATCTACTGACTTTATTTTCTTAAAGAATCCTAGTATTCACAACAGGGTTAGTCTGATCCTATATTTACACTTCCATGTGGCAGGGATGAAAGACATATGGCCATCACATTTAACTTTCCATTTGTTGAGAAGGTGGTCTTGTGAACCTTTTTCTCTGGACTTGTCTCAAACTATGGTCTTCCTAATCTCCACCTTGAATAATTAGGATTACAGGGGTAAACCACCATATGAGTTGTTTGTGTATTTATTTATAAAGCTGAAATATAAACTCATGGTCTTGATAAATGAAGATTTTATTTTTTAAAAAACCTGCCAAGAGCTGGGCACTGGTGGCTCATGCCTGTAATCCTAGCTATTCAGGAGACTGAGATCTGAGGATCATGGTTCAAAGCCAGCCGGGCAGAAAAGTCTGTGAGACTCTGATCTCCAATAAGCTACTGGAAAACCAAACCGGAGGTGGCGCTGTGGCTCAAGAGGTAGAGCGCTTGCCTTGAGCTGAAGAATGCAGGGACAGCGCCTAGGCCCAGAGTTCAAGCTCCATGACCCACCAAAAACAAACAAACAAACAAACTTGCCAAGCCAGCTGCCACTCTCAAGGACTTTCCTGCCCAGGCTGGCTTTGAACCGTGATCCTCAGATCTCAGCCTCTTGAGTAGCTAGGGTTACAGGCATGAGCCACCAGCACCCTGGCAGGATATTTCAAAGCCAGCCTGGGAAGGAAAGTGCCTAAAACACTTCTCTTTAATTAACCTTCAAAAAGCCAAAAGAAAAGGTGGTAGAGCACCAGCCTTGAGTGAAAGAGCCAAGCCAGAGCAGGAGATCATGAGTTCAAGCTCAGTATCAGAACAGAGAAACAAAACAAAAATAACCTGTTAAATTTAAGAAATGTCAGTCACAAATTTAACTGAATTATTTCTGTTATACTGACAGTATTGGACTAGGAATGTGACTTAGTGGTAGAGTGTTTGCCTCACATGCGTGAAGCCCTGGGTTCAATTCCTTAGTACCATATATACAGAAAAAGCCAGAAGTAGCACTGTAGCTCAAGTGGTAGAGTGCTAGCCTTGAGCAAAAGAAACTTGAGTTCAAGCCCCAGCACTGGCAAAAAACAAAAAAAGAAAACAAAACAAATCCCTTATAATACCGATGCTTTTCTATTTAATCAGATGCTTTTCTATTTAATAAGACTGATGGAAATTTATTTTTTTGGTGCTGATACTAGAGCTTAAACTCAGTGCCTGGGCAGTCCTCCTAGCTTTACTGAAACTCACTTCTATTTTTTTTTTTCCGTTGTTGTTGTTGCTGTTTTGTTTCTTTCTTTTTTGTCAGTCAAGGGGCTTGAACTCTGGGCCTGGGCGCTGTCCTTCAGCTCTTCAGTTCAAGCCTAGTGCTCTACCACTTGAGCCACTGCACCACTTCTGGCCTTTTCTGTTTATGTGATGCTAAGGAATCGAACCCAGGGCCTCATTCATGCAAGATAAGCTTTCTACCACTAAGCCACCTTCCCAGCCCCTCACTTCTATTTTTAGTGTTTTGTTTTTGGTATTTCTTATTTTTTGGTCTGTCACGGGGCTTTAACTCAGGGCCTGGCACTATTCTTGAGCTCTTTTTGCACTCTTATCACAGGTTTTCTGGTGGTTAATTGGAGATAAGAGCCTCATGGACTTTCCTGCAGGCTGGCTTCAAACCACGATCCTCAGATCTCTGCCATCAGAGTAGGTAGGTTTACAGAAGGAATCACTTTTGAAAGATTTAATATCTGGTATTTCAAATAAACAAAAAAACTATAATATAAAAGTAATATCAATGTAACTGTTTACCACATCTAAAGTCATCTAAACCAGGCACTGGTGGCTCATGTCTGTAACCCTAAGCTACTTAGGAAGCGGAGATCTGAGGATTAAGGTCCAAAGCCAGTCCGGGTAGGAAAGTCCATGAGACTCTTAATCACCAAAAAAACAGAAGTGGAGCTGTGGCTCAAAGTTCAGGGACAGTGCCCACGCGCCAAGTTCAAGTTTGATGACTGACAAGAAAAAGAAAAAAAGAAGAAAACCAAACACATGGGGAAAAAATTACAAATAAAAATTTCAGATATGGTCATTCCTTTATCAATTTGAATTTGAGTGTGTGTGTGTGTGTGTGTGTGAGAGAGAGAGAGAGAGAGAGAGAGAGAGAGAGAGAGAGAGAGACAGAGTGAGAGAGAGAAAGAAACAGAGAATTAGTTGTGGGGCCTGAGCACTGTCCCTGAGCTTTTGTGCTAAAGGCTAGTTACTGCTTTACCACTTGAGCCACAGCTTCACTTCCAGTATTTTGCTAATTGGAGATAAAAGTCTTATTGGGTGGGTGCCAGTGGCTCCTGCCTGTAATCCTAGCTACTCAGGAGGCTGAGATCTGAGGGTGGAGGTTCAAAGCCAACGTGGGCAGTAAAGTCCTTGAAAGACTTTTATTTCCAATAAACCACTCAGAAAACTGGAAGTGGCACTGTGGCACAAGTGATAGAGCTCCAGCCTTGAGCTGAAGAGCTCAAGGACAGTGCTCAGGCCCAGAGTTCAAGCCCCACAACGGACCAAAAAAAAAAAAAAGTCATAAACTTTTCTTGTCCACGCTGGCTTCAAACTGCAATCCTTAGATTTCAGCTTCTGTGAAGCTAGGATTACAGGCATAAGCCACCAGCACCCACCTTTTCTTTACCAAATTTCGTTCTTCCTAAAATTATAGATTTCTACTGAGATGAAGAAAAAAATATTTATCAAGTGTATCACTCTAACTCAAAATTCAGGAAGCCTACTCATTAAACAATAGACAAGAGCCCAACAATTTAACAACAATCTATTACTAATAATATGGAAAGAACTTAGGAAAAGGAAACAGTATTTGTTTGTATTTAACAAGAATACATTAAAACTAATTAAAAATTGTTTGAAACCACCCTATTTATTTGGAAATTGTCAACTAACAGTAATCTGAAAAACAAATCTCAGCCTAAAAATATAATAAAGAAAAAGGGTCCAAACACCAACTTGAGAATCATTAATCCTGGTAGCAGGATTCACAAAACCTGCCAATCACAGTTGTCAGATTGGGAACAATAGCACAGTTTTCTCGGATTAGATAGATAAACACACACACACACACACACACACACACACACACACACACACACACACACACACACACACACACACACACACACACACACACACACACACACACACACACACACACACACACACACACACACACCTACCTTTTGTACAGGTATTGGGGCTTGAACTTACAACTAATCTCTTGCTTTTTCCACTGGAGGCTTGCTTGTGCTCTACAATCTGAACCATACCTCCTCTTCTGGCTTAAATGAGGCTTTTCTGGTCCCTCATGTTAACAGAAGGTTAAAAAGAGCTAAGAATTTCAGCACCCTTCCAACGTCCTCCAATTAAAAAAAAAATAGTCATAAAAGACAGGTGCCAGTGGCTCATGCTTATAATACTACTACTCAAGAAGCTAATGAAAAGTCACACATACACACACACACACACGTCCATGAAAGATATTTTACCTGAATAATTCCTAGAACTATAAGGAATAGTAAGGGAATAATATCCCTTACAATATCTATTTTATTTTTTTGTGCCATTACTGGGACTTTAACTCATGGCCTCACACACACTTGTTTGGCTTTTTACTCACAACTGATGCTCTACCAACATTTAAATAAGCACCATTTATTGATTATATTCTGGGTTTTAGGCAATAAAAAGATATGTATGCCATATTCTCTTAATTTAAGCTGTTGTAGTCTCAAGAAGAAAAAGTTGTAAGGAAAATAAATGAATCTTTTATCAAGCTTTAAGTTGTCTTTTAGCAAAGTTCTTTCAGTGGGGTGTGAAGGAGGGGTCCTGAGGCTTGAACTCTGAACTTTTTGCTCAAAGCTAGTATTATACTACTTGAACCACAGTTCCATTTTGCAGGGGGTGGAGGGAGCCTTACTTGTAGATAAGAGTATCACAGACTTTCCTGTCTGGGCTGGCTTTGAACCACAGCCCTCAGATCTCAAGCCTCCTAAGTAGTTAGAATTAAGTGCACAAGCCACTCATGCCTAGGCAGCAAAGATTTTGTATAAAACAAAACTATTTTTTATGTCAAACAGGAACGGCTGACACATGGATACAATAGAAAAAAATGCTCCAGGATTGACATTATGTATGTGTATATAAATATGCATTTTTATATATTACATACATATATATTATATAACTGATAATAGAAATCTTAATTTCCATCTTTTTACCTTCAATAATTTATGTACATATGGAAAACAACTGATAATCACATTTAAATATAAGTACAAAAATAAAATAAAATAAATATAAGTACATTGACCAAGAAAATAAGACATTTGGCTGGGAAGGTGGCTCAGTGGTAAAGAGCTTGCCTTGCATGCATGAGGCCCTGGGTTCGATTCCTCAGCATCACATAAACAGAATAGGCCAGAAGTGGCACAGTGGCTCAAGTGGTAGAGCACTAGGCTTGAACTGAAGAGCTGAAAGACAGCGCCCAGGCCCAGAGTTCAAGCCCCTTGACCGACAAAAAAGAAACAAACAAACAAAAAAAAACCTTCTGAATTAGGCACTAGTGGCTCATGCCTGCAATCCATGACTGACAAAAAAAAGAAACAAGAAAAATACGATATTTTTTTTATTTATTATTTTTTTTTGTCAGTCATGAGGCTTGAACTCTGGGCCTGGGCGCTGTCCCTGTACCCTTCACCTCAAGGTGAGCACTCTACCACTTGAGCCACAGTACCACTCCCGGTTTTCTAGTGGTTTATTGGAGATAAAGAGTCTCATGGACTTTCCTGCCCGGGCTGACTTTGAACCCTGATCCTAAGATCTCAGCCTCCTAGTAGCTAGGATGACAGGTGTGAGCCACGGTGCCTGGCTTCTAAAAATTTTTCTACATGAAAAGATTCTGCTTTTTCTAAGTCCTCAAGTAAGAGAATTAATATATACCTATTTATATTAGAAATAATGTGAAACTTTTCATTAAAAATCAGATTGAAGGGGCTGGGAAGGTGGCTCAGTGGTAGAGCGCTTGCCTTGCATGCCTGAGGCCCTGGGTTCGATTCCTCAGCACCACATAAGCAAAAAGAAAAAAGCCGGAAGTGGCGCTGTGGCTCAAGTGGTAGAGCACTAGCCTTGAGCTGAAGAGCTGAGGGACAGCGCCCAAACCCAGAGTTCAGGCCCCACGACCGGACCCCAAAAAAAAAAAAAATCAGATTGAAGCCGGACACTGCAGCTCACGCCTGTCATCCTAGCTACTAAAGAGGCTGAGATCTGAGAATTACGGCTTGAAGCCAATTTGAGAAGAAAACTCAATTAGATTCTTATTTCCAATTAACCACCCAAAAAAGTGGAGCTGTTGTTAAGTAGTAGAGCACTACCCTTGAGCACAAAAGCTCAAGGACTGTGCCAGGCCCTGAGTTCAAGCACCAGGACCAGCACATAAAAATAAAAAAAGAAAATCAGATTGGCCACTATTATTAGTAATGAAGTCATTCTTATGCTCATTCATTTTATTTTTGTGCTGGTCTTGGGCTTGAACCCCAAAGCCTGAGTTCTGTCCCTGAGTTATTTTGTGGGAGGAGGTCCCAGGGGTTGAATTCAGAGCCTGGGAGTTGTTCCTTTTTGCTCAAGGCTAGTAATCTTCCATTTGAGCCAGTCACTGCTCCACTTCTTTAGTGCTTAAATTGGAGATAAAGAGCTTCACCAACTTTTCTGCTTGTGTTTGGCTTTGAACTGCAACACTCAGATCTTTTGCCTACTGAGTAGCTAGGATTACAGGTGTGAAACACAAGTGCTAGCTATCCTTAAGCTTTTTTACTCAAGGATAATATTCTACCACTTGAACCACAGCTCCACTTTCATCTTTTTGGTGGTTAATTAGACATAAGAGTATCATGGACTTTCCTGCCTGGGCTTGCTTTGCATCTCAATCTTCAGATCTCAGCCTCCTGAGTAGTCAGGATTACAAACATGAGCCACTGGCACCTGGCTCAGAATCATTCTTTAAAATACTCCATAGATAGCTATAGTGATGTATATCTGTAGTCTCAGAGGCTTTAACTCAGTTCTGGTGGGCATCGCATCAGCTGAAGAAGGATGACTTGAGCCTAGCAGCTTGAGGACATGACAAGCAACAACTGCAGGACCCTGGCTCAAAATACAAAATAAATCCAGGCACTGATGAGTCAAGCCTGTAAGTCTACCTACCCAGGAGGCTGAGACCTAGAGGATCATGGTTTGAAATCAGGGCATTAAGATTTCATCTCAAATTAAACAACAAAATGGCAAACTAGAACAGGACTCAACTGATAGAGTGCCAACCATGAGCAAGTAAAATAATCTTTTCCTTATTGTTCTTTCCATACTATACTTATACTTCCTATGTTCTGAATAGACCTCAAGGCTAAAGTGAACCATCATTCAAACTACTGATGTCACCAAGAAAGTAATAGAGGTTTAGCCGGGCACCAGTGGCTCACGCCTGTAATCCTAGCTACTCAGGAGGCTGAGATCTGAGGATCACGGTTCAAAGCCAGCCCAGGCAGGAAACCCCGAGACTCTTATCTCCAATAAACCACTCAAAAACCAGAAGTGGTGCTGTGGCTCAAGCAGTAGAGTGCTCACCTTGAGCTGAAGAGCACAGGGACAGTGCTCAAGCCCAGAGTTCAAGCCCCATGACCAATAAAAAAAAAAAAAATGAAAGTAATAAAGGATTGGGATTTTTTGGGGGATATAAAATTAACAGCACTTATTTTTGTGCTTACAATGAAAAATTTGTTGCAATACATGCCACATATACCCTAGAGAATAGAAGGTAGACTCAATAAAAAAAGCCAGTAACACAAACATTGCCATAGTATATGGGCATGCTAATTTTTGTAATTTTTTTTGGCCATTTTGCCAATTGATTATAGTTCCTAATTCCTTCCAAGTTCCTTCCATAGTATCAGATCTATGCTTAGTATTGCTCAGTGGTAGTGCATCAGCCTAGTAAGCACAAAGCTCTGAATTCAAAACCCAGAACTACCCCCACCCACCTTGCAAAAAAAAAATCATGATTTATAGTATTCAGTTCTTTTTTATTTTTGCCAGTCCTGTGGCTCACGTGGTAGAACACTGGCCTCGAGCACAAAAGCTCAAAAACAGTGCCCAGGCCTGAGTTCAATCCCAAGGACCTACACACACAAAGAAGACATTTTAAGGCTACTTAAGTGTAATTAATTTGACTACTTAATAAAAACTTTAATCCAAATTAACCTTATTAATAAACCTATGAAAAAAATGGGTTTACTAGGCCTCAAATCCTACTCTTCCCAAGTAATAGTATCATAAATATAGACTTTTCTACCAAAAAGAACAGTCAGTTCACATTCACAAAGCATTTGAAACAGCCAGACATTAAAGTGGTTTTGACAAAGTTTAAAAAGAGAAAATATGGATAGGCATGAGACACACAACTATAACTCCAATATTTGAGAGACTGAAGCAGGAAGATCATGAGTTTAAAATCAGCTTAGGAGCCAGGCTCTTGTGGCTCACACCTCTAGCATTCCTAGCTACTCAGAAAGCTGAGATCTGAGGATCATTGTTCAAAGTCAGCCCAAGCAGAAAAGTCCATGAGATTCTTATCCCAAATTAATCATCAAAAAGCCAGAAACAGAGCTGTGGCTCAAGTGATAGAACACTAGCCTTGAGCAAAAAACTTCAGGGACAGAGCCCAGGCCCTGAGTTCAAGCCCCAGGACAATAACAACAACAAAGAAATTACATTACTTAGATCAAGAGGGTTAATTTTCCTAGTTTACTAAGGACTTACCTATCCATGTCATCATCTCCAGGTAACAAGGGTGGAAGGGGCAGAGGCGGCAATGTTGAAGTTTTCAGATGTGGAATAGCAGCTGTCACAGATATTTGAGTCTTGACAGAAACCTGTACAGGGGGCTGAGAATTTGCCTGAGAGGACAAAGTTGATGTCCTACTTGTATGAGTAGAAAGAGGCAAAGTTGAAGTACTAGAAACAACAGCCTGACTAAATACTGGTTGGGGAGGAGGCAGAGGTGGTTGTGAAATAGTTGGTAATGGAGGCAAAGGTGGTAGGGGAGGTGTCTGAGGTGGAGGTGTAGTAGATGGTAAAGGAGGAGGAGGAGAAGTAATTGTGGGTAGAGGTGGAGGGGTTTCCTTTTCTGAGGTCTCTGTTTCCTTTAGAGAAACAATCTCCTCTTTCGATGGCACTGTTTTGGAGTCTTTTGTTCCCTGTACTTTCAAATCCTTTATAAGATGCTTCTCAGAGTTATCATCCGATTTTACCTTCCCTGTATCTAAAGAATTTTTGACCTCTGTGTTTGATTGTGTTACATTTACCAGTTCAGTATCTGTGGAAGATTTTTCCAATTTTACTCCTCTGGGTAACTTTTTAGACTCCAAGCCTGAATCTTTAGCATCTACTGAACTGTTCTCTTTTTTAGGAAAAATTATAGGTGAACTTTTGGATTCCTTTCCGTCCATTTTTGCTGCTGCAGCAGCAGCTGCTCTTTCCTTCTTTTTTCTACTGAGCTCAGCTCCTAGGCTGGAATTCAATGGAAGCCTGACAGGTGAGATACTGGAATGACGACTTCGAGACCCGGATCTCTTCTTTTTACTATGAGAAGATGAGTGTCTTGAATATGCAGGACTCCTGCTTCTGGACTTCATGGTTTTCCTACTAGAAAAAGAAAAAAAAAAAAAAAAAAAAGGGGGGTTTTAAATAAGTAGCAAGACAAACTATGGAGAACTGTAACTTTAAGCCCATTCTGAACTAACATCAATCTGAAAATAGACTATATGATATAAAAAACAAAGTCTGAGAAAAGCCCAATATAAGGAAGGCTAAAGGGGCATGACAACTAAATGTAATGAATGTGGTATCAAGGATAGGATTCTGGAACACAAAATGATAATGAGATAAAGATTAAATAATCCACAACAAATTTAGGACTGTGGTAAATAATTATGTATCAGTATTGGTTAACTGCAACAAAAGTACCACATTAATGTAAGATGCTGACAGAGAAAACTAAATGCAGAAGACATATAATTCTCTGTATTATTTTCATAATTTTCCAAACAACCAAAACTATCCTAAAAATAAACTTAATTTTAAAATTGAAGGAACTAAATCCTACATAAAAATGTTTTAATCATTTAACACTAAAACTTTGTTTTACTTATTTAATTGAAGGAAGATGGAAACATTTTTTTTTTTCTCAACATGAGAAAAGCCATATATGCAATGCTTACTTTCAGATTTTTGTTCTAATCTTTAATAAATTGAAAACATGATGAAGTCACACTCTAAGGGATAAAGCCTAGCTCAAGTGGTAAGTAGTAGAGAGCATTTACCTACCAGGTACAAGGGCCTGGGTTCAATCCTTAATATTCGCCTACTCCCCCTCACCTAGAGTCATACTGTATAGTATTAGTAGGTTATATCAGTTAAGAAGTTCAACTTTTTAAATTAGGCAGATACCCAAAAAAATGCTGTTTCTGTAGCCCCAGTTCATAATAAATTTGTGCCTATAGAAAAACTATGACCTGGGCGCTGGTGCCTGTAATCCTAGCCACTCAGAAGGCTGAGATCTGAGGATCACAGTTCAAAGCCAGCCCAGGCAGGCAAGTCTGTGAGAATCTTATCCTCAATTAACCACCAGAAAACCAGAAGTGGCGCTGTGGCTCAAGTGGTAGAGCACTCGTCTTGAGCTAAAGAGCTGAGGGACAGAGCCCAGGATCAAGAGATCAAACCCAACAACTGACCAAAAAAAAAAGAAAAGAAAAGAAAAAGAAGAAAAGAAAACCTACAAATATACAAAAGTTAGAATTTACAAACAGACAAATGTTTTTCAAAAATAACCTATTAGAGGTTTTTAAAAATACAATAGTCCCTGGTATTTTTGTTTTTGTTATGAGGCAGGATCTCATTATATGGTCCAGGCTGGCCTTGAACTAGAGATCCTCCTGCATCATTCTGAGTGCTAGAATTACAGGTCTTGGTACTTTTAAATATAAAATGATTTACAGTCACTTTCCAAAAATTCTTAAGGCAAGGCATTATTGTATATCACTTAATTTAATCCTTTTTTGTTGTTGTTGTGGTACTGGGAGTTTAACTCAAGAATTTCAGCTTCCTAGACAAGAACTCTACTACTCGGGGCTGGGAAGGTGGCTCAGTGGTAGAGCGCTTGCCTTGCATGCCTGAGGCCCTGGGTTCGATTCCTTAGCATCACATAAGCAAAAAGAAAAAAAAAGAACTCTACTACTCAAGCCATACTCCCAGACCTTTTTCTGTCATTTTTCAGACATTTTTTGCCCTGGATGGGTTTTGGATTTCAATCTCCCTACCTTTTCATTCTGCATAGCTGAGATCACAAGTATAAACAACCACGTTCAGCTTGAGATAGAGATCTCACTAATTTTTTGCCCTAGCTGGCCTCAATGGCAATCTTTCTGATCTCTGCTTCATGAGGACAATTAATTTTCTTCTTCTTTTTGGTGGTAGTACTTGGGTTTGAACTCAGAACTGTAAACTTGCCAGACATGTTCTCTAACAATGAGCCATGCCCCAGCCCTTGAATTAATTTTCTCCATAAGCAACGACTAGATAAAGTCTGCGAATCTATGGAACAGAATATTATAAATTGGAACCCAAATTTCACTAAGTCCTTTTGTTTTTTTAACTAAAGCCTACTTAAGCCTCAATGTGAGGAAAAATAAAATTAAAAAAGCCAACCCACTAGAAATGTAATGTGACTAGATCAAGAAAAAAAAATAACTGTAAGAAAAAGATAAAGAAAAAAAAAACAAAGGGCTGGGAAAGTGGCTCAGTAGTAGAGGGCTTGCCTTGCACACATGAGGCCCTGGGTTCGATTCCTATAAGCAGAAAAAGCTAGATGTGGTGCTGCGGCTCAAGTGGTAGAGCACTAGCCTTGAGCTGAAGAGCTGAGGGACAGCGCCAAGGCCCAGAGTTCAGGCCTCATGACAGACAAAAAAGAAAAAAAGAAAACAAAACAAAAAAAAAAAAAGACTGAACAAAATACTATTTGCACATTAGATTAAAACGAATTGTTCCATTACAGATCGCTAATAACTCCTTTTACCTTTCATTGGTAATATTAATATGAACTTTTAAAACAGCAAACATGAGTAAGAAAACCAACTCACATGATGGCAACCATGGTTTTCTTTTACCAACAGTGCTTTTTAGTTTACTCAAAAATTTAATTAAAGCTCTGAACCGGTGGCTCATGCTTATAACCTTAGCTAATCATGAGGCTGAGATCTAAGGATAATGGTTCAAAAAAATGGTTCAAAAAAATGCCAACACCCACAGGACAAAAAAGTCTGTGAGGGACTGGGAAGTTGGGTTCAATTCCTCAGCACCACATAAGCAGAGAAAACCGGAAATGGCACTGTGGCTCAAGTAGTAGAGCACTAGCCTTGAGCTGAAGGAAGAGCTGAGGGACAGCGCTCAGGTCCAGAGTTCAGGCCCCATGACCAAAAAAAAAAAAAAAAACCAATCTGTGAGATTCTAATTAACTAGCAAAAAAAGCTGCACTGGAGGCATGTCAAGTGGTGAAAAGCCAAAAGAGATCATAAAGCCCTAAGTTCAAGTCCTACATCTCCTTCCTCATATTAAAATATAAAATTACTTTTGGAAGCTGGTATGGTGCTACATGCCAGTAATTCCAGCTACTTGATAGAAACAGAAGGACTGCAAGCTCAGAACCAGCCTGGGTAGTTATCTAGACTCTACCACAAAACCCAAAAACTTAAGAGCATGGCTCAAGTGGTAGGACACTTCATGTTGAAGGCCCTGGGTTCAATCTCCATTAATATGCATGCGTGCACGCATACACGCAGACACAACCTGGAATCAATCAAAAGTACTAAAAAACAACTGCAACAAGACAAGAATAAAATACTAAAAGTAGTCTTGTAGTATACTGAGAACCACACACACTAGGTAGATTTATCAAATGTCTATTCGCCCTTAAAAATACTAATACTCAAGCTGGAAAGGTGGCTCAGTGGCAGAGTGCTTGCCTCGCATGCAAGAGTCCCTGGGTTTGATTCCTCAGCACCACATAAACAGAAAAAGCCAGAAGTGTTGTGGCTCAAGTAGTAGAGCACTAGCCTTGAGCTGAAGAGCTTGGGAACAAGCATCTAGGCCCAGAGTTCAAGCCCTATGACCGACCAAAAAAAAAAAAAAAAAAATTACTAATACTCCTCTTACTTGGCTGAAACATTTTCTGCTTGAATCATAACTGAAACATCTCTCAGAGAAAATGTCTAAAAACCTAAATACTAGCCAGGTGCCAGTGTCTCATACCTGTAATCCTAGCTACTCAGGAGGCTGAGATCTGAGGATCATGGTTCAAAGCCAGCCCAGGCAGAAAACTCCATGAGACTCTTTTTTTTTGGGTCCGGTCATGGGGCCTGAACTCTGGGCCTGGGCGCTGTCCCTCAGCTCTTCAGCTCAAGGCTAGTGCTCTACCACTGAAGCCACAGTGCCACTTCCGGCTTTTTTCTTATGTTGTGCTAAGGAATCGAACCCAGGGCCTCGAGCATGCAAGGCAAGTGCTCTACCACTGAGCCACCTTCCCAGCCCCTTCATGAGACTCTTATCTCCAATTAACCACCAGAAAACCAGAAGTGTCACTGTGGCTCAAGTGGTAGAGCGGTTGCCTTGAGCTAAAGAGCTGAGGGATAGTGTCCAGGTGCAGCGTTCAAGACCTACCACCACCACCACCAACAACAAAAAACCCTAAATACTAAATAATACATGTACTATATATAAACTATTGTTTCTTTAGTTTTTTAGAATAATCAAATCTTCCTAAAGAAGCCAGATACTAGTGGCTCATGCCTAAAATACTAGCTCAGGAAGCTGAGATCTGAGAATGCAGTTCAAAGATAACATTAGCTTTGAACACAAAAGCTAGGCCCCCGAGTTTATGCCCCAGCACCAGCACAAAAAAACAAACAAACAAAAGTCCTAAAGAACTCTTCTACAAACCCTTCAATTTCTGAACAGAAGCCTAATATAAATAGGACAGTTAGAAAATCATCTTCTTGCGGTTATTTTAGTGATATAAATGTTATATTTAAATTCCATGTCGACTGAAAAAATAGAGGAAACAACAATTAGGTTAACATGGGGAGCATTAAGTAATGTGTGTACAATTACAAATTTACAGTGCTAACTGGGTGCTATTTCATCATGTCTCTAATCATAGCAACTCAGTAGGCTGAGATCTGAGGAAGATGATTTAAAGACAGCCAGGGAAAGGAAAATCTATAAAATTCCATCTCCAGTTAATCAACAAAAAGCAGGAAGTATAGGTATGGCACAAGTGGTAGTAGGCCAGCCTTGACCAAAAAAGCCAAGCAAGAGCATGAGGCTTTGAATTTAAGTTCAAACCCCAGTACCAGCATCAGCATGCACTCCCAAACAGGTGCACACATACACAATGTAAAGTGCTTGTTTGGCATGTAGAAGACCTTGGGTCCAATCTTTAGTGTAGGTGCCCATGTGCACACACACACACACCTAACTCCCCTGAATTGTTAGTTTCTAAACATTTGATTGTTTGTTTGCTTGTTTTGCCGGTCATGGGGCCTGAACTCTGGGTCTGGGTGCTGTCCCTCAGCTCTTCAGCTCAAGGCTAG